AAGGCAACAAATGCCAAAAAGCTGGCAACTACTTTCACACATGAAAATTTGAATGAAACAGAAATTACTCTCACACATGGAAAAATACTGAACAACAATTAAAAAGGAAGTGAGTTTATGTACATGTATAAAACAGTAAGAGGGATACAAAGCGATTTTACGAACAAAAACGCATCCACTAATCCAACTAAAATGTAGCATACAAAAAAGTGAATTGGGTGATAAAAATATACCTGATGAAATTTTCACCAGCGAATTTGGCCGCTTCCTTCTCTTTTCCCTGCACATTAGCAAACGGATTTTCTCGCATCGATCGGGATTTGGGATCGTAATAAGGTGAATTTTCAGCCAGGTTGAAGAGATATTTGGCAGTATCTTCACGAATTCTCAAATTTCGAACCTGCAAGTTCAATGAGAAAAGGAATAAATAATAACGGGAGGATTCGGCAACTGATTTAACGCAAGAATACATACTGTTATTCGAGTTCTTGAGTCCATGTCCACAGAAACTCCAGCCATGTCTGCATCTTCTGCGTATTTGTCGTCGTCAGCACCTCCTTTCTCAGGGTCAAGAAGTCCTGCGCGAATCTTAATGTTATTACTTGCTCGGAGTTGTAACCAAACGATATACGCAAAATGAGAATCGAAAACCAAACACACCTGTTCTGCCTTGATAGCCTTCCTTGTTTCCTCCAAGTGCTCGAATTCCGTAATGACCTTAAATGTGATTCAGGAAAATTCATGATATAATAATCATCGGATAAACGGATACCTGCTCATGGCTGCTAGGATCAAAGCCATTCCATCTATCTCTCTTCGCATCAAAACCTAGCAACAAGTTCGGTTGTACGTGATCATCAGGGGCGATATCGTCGCCGGTCTTACTGAACAAATTTCCGTTAAATATTATCTAGCACCGTGAAAAAGGAAACATGACTGTGAGCTGGTCAGCTTATTTCAACGATAATCTTTCACAAACTTTTGAACATTTGCACAGGCTTTTCAATAGTTGGGAGAAATCGTCTTGTTTCACAGCATGGCGCTGCAAAAGTCACCACAAAGAATAGAACGGTAATGGAGGATATGAGGATAGCTAATCGCTGTGTTTTTTTTTCGCTTTCAAAGTGGTTGTGCTTTTAAAAAGCTATGATAACTCGTCCACAACCGGAAGGATAACGGGTGTTTCAATTTTTCACCATTTTTGACGTGCCTGAGGATGGTAACTCAGGACGAGAACTTCAGGTAAAGCACTATCCTGAAGCCACAATCAATGACAAAACTTCCTTCTGGAAAATACTCACGCGCCAAGATTACTTACCCACACGTTCACCAGTTGTAAAAAGCCTACTAAGGACGAAACCGACATATAAAAAGAAAACAAACTTACGCTGCACCCAGTTTTCTTGGACGTTCGAAGCAGTCGCGCTTGATATGGCCCATAGCACCACAATTTTCGCAAGCTCCTAAAGTTAAACCAAGCAATCATTCAAGCTTTACCTGTAATTTACCGTACATAGGAATCAATACTTGCGATAAAACTAAGGAAATGCATCTTTCAATATAAATTTAATTTGAGTGACGTAGGAAAACAAAAGCTACCTAATTTGGAGGATAAGAATCGCGTGACGAGTCAGCACTCAAAGAATTGAAGTGAAAAAAGTCAGACACAATCTTAACGGATCTTTCCGAAAGATCAAAAGCTTTCAACATGCTTATTTTTTCCGCCTCTTCGAGAAATTTTAAACTCAGCTCACAGTAAGGACTGTTCCTATTCTTGACCCGCGCCTCTAACTGTTACCGCAACAAGGAATAAACAAAAGGTGAGGCACATCGCATCAAGGTTTTGGCCACAGCAGTAGTACACCCTCCACACGGAAAAAGTCGGCAAAATCCTCTCCCTCTCTCCCATAACTATGTGACCATTAACGAAGTTATTTCTTTACAGCGCTATTTCTCACTTACTCCACTTGAGGTATCTTCTATCACCAAGACAAATGTTGCCCTTGGTTAAGATAACTCTACTGAAGTCTACACTTCGTGAGATGAGGACATAGGAGCTACGCGCCACATGTACTGAGCTGTATCTGCTCATGAACATCATCGCCACTCCATGATAAGGAATCGAAAATACGAAATAGCATCCACCTTTCCGGAACTTAGTGGCAGCCTTTCCAGTGGTACCTTTCTTGTACCATTTGTCGATGGTAGCCATATCCTTCTGCCGTTCCGCATGAGGCCTTTGATGCTGCAAATATGCATGGAAGCGTCAAGCTGCACATAAGGCCCATTAGGTAAATAACAATGGAAAATACCAAAACATAGCAGTTGATCGACTAGAGGCTAGCAGTTACCTGCAGTGTTGGTCCTTCACTGGGCACATACCAGGGATTCTGAGAAATAAACTGGGGAATGTGCGGATTAATATCTCGTCCAGTTTGCACGTCGACCATAGCCGGCGCTGTTCCGGCTTTACGCTCTTCCTACAACGTGTGATTGAGAATAAGTAGTGACAAATCAAAATTTCTATTAGTATAGCAAATATAAACTGATAATTCCAATGAATGAGTATAATTAATATCACCTCCAAATCCTTTTCTTTTCGATACTCTGTTCTGCTCTTCTTTTCTGTCATGTCATCTCCTCCTTGTCGTAAAAGTGCCGAGGCCGGCACCACTTTGCGAAATGATGCCATTTTTGTGGCCTGAAATGAGAATAACTCCGACAATTTTCACTGAGAATCCTTATATAAAGCAAATGTAGGGCAAAGCGAAATCGTCCTTTGATAAAGCTCGAACAAAGTCCATAACCGGAATTCATGCATCCGATACTTAGGCATTTCAGAACAAAAAAACACCATGATATCAAGTATTTGCCGCACAAGTTGGCACTTACCTAGAAGGATACGCAAGATAAGGGGGGTGGGGGGGGGGGGCACCTCGCAACATCGCGTCAAAATCACGGAAACGCTCCGTTTTAGGACTAAGCTTTTGAAGAGGAGAGGAACTCCGGTGTACGGAAGCAATTTTCGTATTCTCCGGAGTTCGTCCCTGCTGTTTAGGCTTAGTCCTAGATGACTTTTCTCAGAGTGCCCCCCCCCGAGCCACATTGCCCTATGAAGGTATAAGGGATAGGGACGTGCCTAACCAAGGAACAATTATTTCGGTTGAATCCTATCGGCTAAGATTCAAGAATCCCAACTCCTTCACACTTACGGAATTGTTTTATTGCATTGGCCACTTAGCAAAGAACAGTAAGTGGCAGATTTCCTCTCAAAACACACCAGGGCAAAAAAACGAAACTACGACCAACAATGACGAACTGAATCCTTTCGTATATAGATTGACCTGCAACGGCGTATGCCGCTGGGTCTCGTAAACTATATTACAGTGACCGTAATTACGCACATCGCGCTCGACTTGACACGCATTTCTGTATAATTGTATGCTATTTGAAGAATGCCAAGCATCCAGTCAGGCCCTGTTCAGAGATGTCCGCCGGCGCGAAAAAACGCACAGGCGAAAATCTCCGCCAAGATTTAGATACGCATCGACTGAGAAATTGTGAAACGCGTAAGCGAAACGTCCGGAGCAGGCGAATTTCAGTCAAGAGTTTGATATGTATCGACTGTGAGAAACGCACAGGCGGAAAATCGCGTGAGCGAAGCGTTCGTAAGTCGATGCGTATGATACTCATTTTCGTCGATCCTCCCACTTCACGATTCGCCTGTGCGTCTTCGTTCAGTCGATACATATTTCACATTGTTTCGCCTATGCGTTTTTTCGCGCAAGCGGACATCTCTGAACAGGGCCTCAGCAGTCTAACTACCTTGTGATAATATCTCTCTGTGCTTGGTAGTTGAAAAGTTTTGCTCGTTTCACCAAAAGATTCCATGTGTTATGTGGATTTGGTGGGTGGGCACGCTGACAGTTTTAACTTCCTCAAGTAGTGTGCTGATCCACTGAATAGGCAAAATGGCGCAGTGCAACTCGGGGGGGGGGGGGGTGGGGGTACGAGCCGTAAAACTACGTGAGGCTCACGGAAATACTCATTTTCGGGAAGAAACCTTGGAGGAGGAGAGGAAATCCGAGGTGCGCAAGCAATTCTTATTCTCTTTGGAGCTCGTCCCTCCACATTAGGTCTAGCTCCAGTAGCATAGTGGGGTTCCTACGGGCCGCTCCCGCCCTCCGCTCCCTCTGGCCGGACGCATAGTCGGTCGGACGACAGCAACGATCTGCAAGTGTCGCACAGCATTGGATGCGTATCGATCGTCGGACTTGCCTGAGTATTCGACGATTAGATGCAGTCAGACAGTCAGACAGTTGCGACCGTTGCTGTCGGACGACCGACTATGCGTGCGCCCCTCCCTCCCAAGGCAAATGGCCGCTCTATCACTCACATGAAGTTCTTCCTACTCGAAATCGGTGTGCCCACCCGACTCACAGGGCATTATTAGTGATTCTACATTATTGTGCGGTTCTTTGTCTAGTTTATTTCTTCCACGTTAATTTGGCGATTGTTTCGTTACTATTGTCCCTTTTTATTTTGGCTGCTTTTTGCGTGTTATTGTTCTCGGTTCGACAAGCCCTGGGGTCGAAGTAGCTTTTACTGTAACCTCAAATGCTGAAAAAGTTACGAGCACAACCCTCAAAGCAACAGTCCCAGCAGGGTTTTTACCTTCAACACTAATGGTGTGGAATCGATGCGCTAGCCCTAGTCAAGGACATAAAAGTGTGACTGAACAAAAAACTCACCTTGGAAAGCCGCTGGAAAGGAAAGCTAAGACTTCGAAAAGGGAGCTGAACGGCTTCGAAGTGGGCGTGGTTGCCAATCAGCTGCAATCCTCGGCCGATTCAACCACGCCCACTTCGAAGCGTTCAGCTCCCTTTCTAGCGGCTTTCCAAGGTGAGTTTTTTGTTCAGTCACACTTCTTATGTTCTTGACTAGGGCTAGCGCATCGTTCCACACCATTAGTGTCGAAGGTAAAAACCCTGCTGGGACTGTTGCTTCAAAAAACATAACATACATCTAGAGCAAAACAAAAGAATGGATTCCAGGATGCGCACCACTGCGTTATGTATTGTTTGTGGATTAGGGCCTCAGTGTTTGTCCAATATTTACAAGCATTTGAGAAGAACACATGGCTGGAGCGAGGAACAGATCGACCAGGAAAAATTGCGCTTAAATGGTGCAAGAGCACGCTTCTCTTGCAACCACTGTGAAAGAGTCTTCACGTCCAAGAGAAGTCTCAAGAAACATAAGGTGTTGTTCAGTCGCCCTGCTCGCGTTTCAAATCTAAGTTGCTCTAGTTTAGGAGTGTCCTAGATTGTTGCGTATCTTGAAGGTTGTGTGCCCGCAATGTGATCAACGATTTCTTCGTCACCAGGATCTGGCGAAACATTGTGAAAGTTCGCATTGTGATGAGAATACAGATTCGTCTTACTTTTCAATATTCAACGGGACTTTCGACTCCGTAGAAGAGTTCAGAGGTAAAATTTTATTTCACCTTTATTGTTTTGACTATTGTTGTCAGCTTTTACAGGCAGAAGCGTCTCTTGAAAGGGCAACGACCACGGTTTTCTCAAAGAGGCACTCTGAAGAGTGCAAAAACGGAAGACGGCATCTATATGTATGCAAGCATGCCCGAGGACCCGGAGTAAACGCTGGTGCCGAAGAATCTCGCAGTAGGAGCAAAAGAGTGGTCTCGCATTGTCCTGCTTTTTTGAAGGTGGCTCTTCATCTTTCAAGTGATGCTGTTGTCCTTTGTCATGTAACATTCTCAGGTAACGGAGCTAACGGATGGAAGAATCATTTATGATTGTTGTACTGGTCACCTTGGACATGTCGTTAGTGCGCCATACCTTGGAATGTCCAGCGATGAAGAACAAGAAATTCCGTATGAGGGGCAAATTAAAATGGAAGTCTCCGCTGTGAGTTTTATTCTAAAGTTCAGTTTTATTCTAAAGTCTATCGAGACCGGGTGGCCCACCGGTGGGCCACCCAGTCTCGATAGATTCTTTCTGTGCAGCAACACTGACTGAGCAGTGGCCCTTTTTTCATTCTTTTTTCATTCCTTTTTCTCGTTCATTTCACTTGAATTTTTTATAACTATTTTTCAATCTGTTCTCACACTTCCAAGCGTTGGTCGCGGTAAGGGTATTATACGAGAAAAGCTACCAAAGGTGCGACCAATTGCACAAACATTACTGTTCGGGGTGTTTCAGAATCATCCGAATAGCCAGAACCCATTGAAATTGCCAAACGATGCCGCAGATGCTGATGGGCATGGAGCTATTCGGACGCAGGACGCAGCTGAAGAGGCATTCGAACAATTCCAAGGGGTTAGTCCTCTATGAGTCGTCTCTTACACCGCTTCTGTGTAGTTTGTTGATCTATTATTTATTTCAGACTTTGACCCATCTTAGTGAGCTCATGCGGCTTTGCATGGAGCGAAACCTCCACGAGCCCATGTTGCATTGCGTAGCTGCGATAAAGGAGCAAGCCCAAAGACTGGAGGAAGTGACAGGGTTGAACCAATGCACCGCGCCCAAGCAAGAACTAGGGAGGGAGCCGAAATCAGAACCATTAGAGATGGATAGCACTGTAAGTTCCAAGCGATAATTTTGTTATCTGAATTTCTAAGCTTTTCTATAATTGCTGTTTGAACGAGGGCGTAGATGTGGTGGCAAAATAGTTGAGGCTCAAAAAGCCGAAACGAGTATCAATTATAGAAAAATCCAACTTATCTCAACAAGCAATTGTAAAATTTTTTTGTTCGGTTTGGCCCCATGAACTCGTAAACTTGATAACCTTCTTCAAACAGACCTTAGAGACATCGACTTCCGGCATAACACCCATCAAAATTCCATCTCATACTATTTAAACAGCGGCTTTTAGCGATCCATTCAAACCGTGCTTCGTGCACTTCTTCAGTATCACAAAATACGCTAATTGTATTTTGAGAAATTTGACTGGCTAATCTGCACCCGACGTGAAGCTCGAGGAATGAACCCGGCATCAGATTTTTAACAATAAGTAATCTAGTCGTCAGACTGGCTACAGCTTATTTCTATCTTGGATAGCTTTTGGATTACATTAATTCTTACTCGCTAGCGAATCGCTAGATTTGCAATGTTTGACATCGGCCTTACAGAGTCCAGGTCAATTTTGGGATGGGTGGGGCATCGGTCGAGAAGTACATATTAGATGGGCGGGGTATACCATAAATTGCTCTAAAGATATCGTGGCCCT